GACAGCCTCCCTAAACCATTGGCTTGGAGTACCTGCGGGTCTCCAAGGTCAATCTTATGGTCGGGCCCTTTTGCCCGATGGGGAAGTCGCAATAACCACCGACGACACCAAGCGGTACGTCGTAGCAACCGTTTCAACGAGGAGCAGTCAGTCAGCTCCGACGGTTCTTTTATTGGAGCAGAGTTCATAGCATGCGCAGTTTTCCGTTGGTCCGGTAGATCAGCGGGAATCTCGGTGGCGGTGATAACTCTCCACTGACTGGGATCGGCCTTGAGCCACGGTGGCCCTTGCCACCAAAGGGGATGGTCCACTAATTCCGCGGTACTGATACCGCGTGACGCACAATCAGCCGGATTTTCTTGCCCGGGAACGTAGCGCCAAATTGCGTCCGGCAAGGAGGTCTGAATTTCGCTTACTCGATTTGCTACATAGGTTTTCCACAATGAGGGGTGTCCGCGTATCCAGCCTAGCACCACCTTCGCGTCCGACCAGAGATACACTGGGACCCTCTCAGCCTCGAGAATCCGCTGAACTTGTACTACGAGTCGGACTAGAAGCGTGGCGGCACTCAGCTCCAGACGTGGTAACGTGACTTGTTTTAGCGGGGCGACCTTTGTTTTCGCCTCAAGTAATCGCACCGCCACTTCTCCGTCGCGGTTTCTGACCCGTAAATAGACCACCGCAGCATAAGCGCGTTCAGAGGCATCGGCGAACCCATGCAGCTCCATCTCGTTGCCTTCGTCTCCGGTTCTCAACCAGCGAGGGACCCTGATCGCTGCCAATGACGGAAGGTCGTCCTGAAATTCCCGCCATCTTCGGACATTTTCCACAGGAAGCGGTTCGTCCCAGTCGATGCTCAGTAACCACGTGGCCTGAAACATTATTTTTGCTCGCACCGTGGTTGGGGCGAGCCAGCCTAGCGGGTCGAACAGCCTCGCTGTCAGAGACAAAACTGTCCGTTTGGTAAATGTCTCTGTTCGAATCAGCTGAGTCGTGTAGGCGAAATGGTCTTCGTGCGGATGCCACCGCAGACCCAGAGTCAAATGACTTTCCCCCGGTTGCCACGCGCGCGACTCCTTTAACTGCCGATCCTCCACTGGCACGTCATCTAGAAGAGTGGCGTGGTTAGCCGTCCATTTTTTCAGCGGGAAGCCGCCCGCCATGCACAACTGGTCCAGCTGTCTTTTCCTTTCCTGAGCCGCAACGAGTGTTTGCGCCCCAGAGATGATATCGTCCATATACCGATCTTCTCTGAGGATAGTCGCGCCCTCGGGAAACCGGTGCCCCTCATCTTCGGCCAGCTGAAGCAGGGTTCGCATGGCTTGATACGGGGAACTCGACAGTCCATAAGTCACGGTAGTCAGACGATATTCTGTAATCGGGTCCCTGACGTCAAACCTCCAAAGTATCCGCTGAAGATTTTGATCGTCCGGGTGTACTCCAATTTGACGGTACATCTTCTCTATGTCCGCCGCGAAAACGAAACGGTGTCGACGCCATCGCAGAAGGACATCCGTCAAACCGGGTAAAAGGTTGGCTCCGACCAGCAGATGTTGATTAAGAGAGTCTCCTGTCGCTACGGCAGCCGATCCATTAAAAACTACCCTTAACTTAGTACTCGTACTAGCTTCTCGCATAACCCCGTGATGCGGCAAGTAGCAAATTGGTCTTTCGCTCGGATCCTTGTTCGAAACGGGTTTCATATGCCCAAGTTCGACATACTGTTTCATAAAAGCTACGTACGCGGCGTGAAGATTCGCATCCCTCACGAATCGCCCCTCCATACTCCGCAGCACTCGTTCGGCGACACGACGCGTTTCGGTGAGGTCTGGCAAGGATGAAGCGATTGGCAGACGTACTACATACCGTCCATCAGGTTGGCGAGCATGCGTCCGAACGAAGTGTTCTTCGCATTCCTGCTCTCTGTCGGTCAAGGCGATCGTTCTCATAGGCACCTCCTCTTGTTCCCAGAACCGGTGAACCACGCTTACGAGATCTTCCTCGACTTGACATTGGTGAACGTATGTGACATGTTCGGTGACTGCGTCACTGACTACTCCCGAAAGAATCCACCCCAGTTCGGTACTTTGAGCTACCGGCTCCCGAGGACCGCCCTTTTTAAGCCCCTTCGTTAAAATGAGAGCGCAAACCTCGGCTCCGAGGAGGATGTCGATCGGGTCGGCCGAACCGTACTCAGGGTCCGCAAGTTGTAATCCGCGAATGTGTGGCCAAGTCGCCGTACTGGCTTCTATACTACTTGTATAGACGGTAAGTCGCGGGAGAATTAACGCGGATACAATGAATGAACGTCCCTCTGTGCGCGGAGATAATGTTATAGTGACTCGACCTCGGGCGAGTCCAGATTTGTGTCCGCCAACTCCGTATACCGAGACCGCGACCGGCGATCGGGGCAATTTCAACCGCTGAACTAAGCGTTCCGAGATCATGGACGATTCCGATCCTTGATCGACTAGAGCGCGAGCGATGTGCCAGTTTCCATGGATATCTGCCACGCGGACTCGAGCGGTAGCAAGAAGTACGGCTAACGGTTTACCCAGGGATCCCTGTGTTACGTGCGACGTTTTCGCGGCTTCTACAGCGTGGCAGGCATCATGTAGGGAGGTGTGATGCCGCTCACCGCACGCGTAACACGCTTTAATCAAGGTACAATCCGCGGTTGTGTGTTTTCCTAAGCAGTTAACGCACAGCCCGGTAGCCTCGATGAATCGCCTCCGTTCATTAGCCGTTTTCTTTTTGTAATCGTCGCAAAACATTAGTATATGTTCCCCTTGGCAAAGGAAACAGCGCCCAATTTTGGTTTTCCCCTTATTTTCTCGTTTCCGCGCCATATGACTTCGTGTCGATTTCTGAGTTCCGTCGCTCGGTCTATTCGCGGCCCCGTCGGGTTTTACCGGAATCATTGACTCTAGCGCGTGTAATCGTCGATCAAGGAATTGTTCGAGCACGGAGTAGGACGGTGGTTCGGTTGCGGCGCTGATCGATGTTTCCCATTCGCGACGCGATCGAGAGTCTAAAAGTTCGACAGCAAGATGCACGAACAGGTCCTCACTAGTCCCTACCGCTCGACCGATACTTTCTAACGCGCTGACCGTGGCTTTTATGCCGTGAAAGATTTTCCGCAGCTCGGCTGCTGACTCGCTCTTCATTTTTGGCAACACAAGAAAATTGGAAAGATACGAGCGTACTAACAACCGCTTGTTCTCGTAATAAACAGTCAGAGTTTTCCATGCGCGCTCGTAATTCTCGCCCGTTGTCGGTAAATTACGAATAAGAAGTTCGGCCTCACCCTTTAAGCTGGGTTTCAGATAGTGAAGCTTTTCCACCTGGGTGATAGTTGCGTCCTTCCCGAGGATGGATTGGAACAAGTCACGGAACGAGGGCCAATCCTCATATTTTCCGGAGAACTGCGGCAGTTGAATCCGAGGCAGCGTGGTGCGAGATGTGCTCTCTGTGGTGGGCGTCACTCCGGTTGATTCCGCGCTGGTCCGCTTCTCAGCCTTCATCGAACGAATGACGTCCAAAAATGCTCCCTTGTTTTGTAAAAAAGCCTCTTCAGCTACGTTTGGCAAGTCTTGCTTCCGGTAGTCATGCTTCTCGAGTAAATCTGAAGCTTTTAGAAGCAGTTGCTCGTGTTGTGCTTCGAACTTCGCCCAGTTCGCCTCCAGAGCCTGAAGACGCGCTTCCACCAGTGTGTTTTGGAAAGAAAACTATGTTTGACCCGTGAGCATTTTCGTGAGAGCTGCCGGACAGTAACCATCGTAATGTCTCTGCAAAGGACTAACGCAGAATTTTATATTTTTTATATTTTCACGTCGAGTGCAAGAGGAACGCGAGGTAGTCGAAGAGTTCCATGAAGATGGAACGCTAAGCATAGGAAACGTCGCTCGCCGTTTAGGATAAGTAATGTTAATAGTATTTAAACGTTAATATTAAAGTATCCTTCTTCATTCATTAATACATTTCTGTATTTTATTTCAGTATGCATCGCTCCGCGGTACATCGAATTCTTCAAGAGGACGAGATGCACCCGTTTATGTTTATACGACCACATAATTTAAATTCTGAGGACTTTTCGCAGCACCTGCAGTTTTCAACATGGATCTTGGGGGATTATTATTAATCACAGGAGCAGTCCAGGACAATATTAAAATAATCGGCCCCTTTCGGGCACCCTCGGAGGCATCGGGAGGGACAATACCTTTTACCAGGGATTCTCCAGAAAGTGAAAGTGAAAACAAAAGTGTTTTGAAATAAAGACAGTGCAGTGACCTGTGAGTGCCACCAGCTGTGTTATAAGGTGCCAATGTCTGCGTCAGGTCAACATCGACAAGACGACCCCGTGGCAATTACCCCATCACTTTCACTCTCGGATTATTAACAAACAGGATTATTTTCAAAGAGTGGGTGAGTTTTATTTTAATAAATTTCCTGTAAATTAGTAGAGACCTTAATACATTTGTTAGATCTCACATTGAAACTCTTTTTTATCACAAATAGAATAAGTATTTCCTATTAAAATACGTAAATTCGTTGGCCAATATTATTGTCGGAAGCAAAACAAAAAAATTTCGATATTTAATGTCACATTCCATGTCGTTAACGAATTGCAGTATTCAATAAATTCCATTTGCATACTTTGTGTCAATTACACATAACTAATTCCGATCCTCCTTCATGAGGAATGAATAAATGAACATTACTTTTAATTATTCTGTT